GGACAATGTGCTTCATAATTCTGGACGCGTCCTCCGCAGACTTTAGCGGCTTGAGTCTAGGGTTCAGGATTTGAGGATCGGGGCTCTGGGTTCAGGGTCGAATTAGGGTGTGGAGCATTGGTGGCCTCAAAAGCTGGACGCGCCAAGGCGAACCAATTAAGACTATGCGTCAGCATTGGGGATATATTGGGGATCTTGGATTGCATTCTTTTTGAGTTTGAGTAGGGTTTAGCGCGGCGTTTCGTGTTTCCAAGTTTTGCGGTTTCGGGGTGGGGTTCATTGGGGGCAGCGTCTGGCATGCATCTGGCAAACCAAGCGACAAACCCTAAACCCTATAGAACCCAAGCTTCCTGGGGGCTAGAAAAGAACATCTTCCCTCTAAACCCTAAGCCCTAAACCCAAAAAACCTTAGATCTAGGCCTCAGTGTCCTTTTTTGGCCCTCACCAAACCTGTTCGCAACGAAGGGAGAACCACGTGCGTAGGCGTAGGCATTTGGATTTGGAGTTGGAGTTTAGGATTTACATGGAATTCGGTTTACCTGGAATGCGGTTCAAGATTCTCACGCTTGCAGCCTCTTTCGGGGATATCCGCACTGATGTGCGGTCTGTATCGGCTTTGTGGCGGCCATCTATGTGGGATGCCGCGACGTGTCCGTTTGCAGATTTAGACGACTTCAGATGTCCGGGGTATCTTGGGATGTTAGCTTGTCTGTGACTCAGGCCCCACTCCCCGGGTCACGAGGGCCAAGCTGCAGCAGCGGCAGAGAACGTGAAAGGCCGCAGCATCTCGAAGAAGGCTCACAAGAAGGCCAACAAGAAGGAGAATCCTGTTGCTGCCGATGTCGCTGATACCTTTGATACCTCCCCCGGAGTTGCATCTTCAAGTGCAGTTGCCGCCTTTTGATGCCCCAAAACCCCACACCTCAAAGCCCAAACCCTAAGTAAGCCCTACAGCAGGGTTTACGGTTCACACGCTAAAGGTTCAAGGGACTACCCTGAACCCTGCGTCAATGCAGGTACTGGCATCTGCAACGTCTATGAGTTCCTGGCGTACAAGCACCCGCATGAAGTCGATGAGGAGGCATAGGGGAGCACTTAGGGATGCATTTCACACTATGACTCTGGCCGTAAAAGCCCTGTCAATAATTATGAGTATTGTGGTTGCAGTTTCCCTTTCTAATCATGATGTGGTGTACTTCATTTAGACCTCAACAACTGCATCGGTACCCATTTTGGCTTGTACATTACCTTACGATGCTGCTGGTGGATTCCCTATGGAAGCAATGCTAAACCCTGGACCTTACTACATGGGGCCGAAACAATAAGAATTATGCCCCTAGATTCCTTGTAGAATTATAGAAGACAGTTGATATCAGGCTTCCACATTTCACCACTTCCCCGCGTGAGGTGCACAACATGCACAATGAGCGCCCGAAGGAGCAGCGGAGCGGCTTTTAGTCCGGGGTTTAGGGTCTGGGTGGTAGCACTTAGGAGGGGTTTAGGGTTTAGGGTGTAGGATTTAGGGGTTTGGGTTTAGGGTTCAGGGTTTAGGTGGTAGGACTTAGGGTTTTGCGACAAGGGGCCTTGTCGGCCTTTGCTCTGAGCCGGTGCTCGCCGAATCCGTAAATGGATTCAAACTATTGACCCCTTATAATTACACGTATTGCTGCTAGTACTATTAGGATTACCATTACTACTACTATATACTACCATCTCACCAAATTACTTATTGCATTACTATGTTTGCTCTGGTTTCTCTTGAAACCCCAAACCCAGTGAGGAACTGTCAGCAGAGTTGGCCTTGCCTGTTGCACCTTTTGTGAACAACTCCGGGGTCTAGGGGATAGGGGTTTAGGGTTTAGGGTCTGAGCAGAGGTTGCGCACCTTTTATCCTTTGAGCATACAAAAAAGCCTTCCGGAATCCCTCATGATGAGAAGTTGCAAGCTTCCGCTCGCACTCCCCCAAAGGAGCTACGCTCCTTTCGTTGTCTCCTTCTCGGAGCACGTTCAAAAGAGGCGATTTTTTTTTTTCGCCTGTGCTTCCTGGACGTTTACGTCCTGGCTCAAGGCTTTCAAGCTTTCGCCCTAGTTGGACAGGAACAATCTTCGTTGACCCCATCTCAACCAGGACTTCCAAAACTGCCAACACAAAATTTTAGGCAACTGTCTGGACATTCGCATCTGGATGAAGTGCGAACTCAGTCCTACCCTTCCAGGCCGCCTCCATCTTCCTTGCACCGACCTCCCCAAAGGAGTCTTCAAAGATGGTCGTAGGCCGGCTAGCATCCTCAAACTTGAGAAAGGAACGACGCTGGCCTGTCAGCTGAGCCATCCCGAGCCATCCCGATGCCGAGGGGCAACTTTGCCTTGTGAGGGTCGAACAGATAGAGTCTGGCGCTTCCATGAAACCGAGTCAGCACGCCACGTTCCTTGTTTACCACCCACTCATCCTTGGACACAAAAGTTGGTGTAGGTTGATGGAAAAGAGATGGTGGTCCGCCCCATGCTGGAAGCTCCGGCCAGATCATTCGCGGCGGTACTTGCGGAGGCCTCCAATATGGGTGAATACGGATTTCTTCCTCCTGGATCTCATCCTCGACCACTTGTCGCACGCCAGTTTGGGTTATCACCGTGCTAGGTGAAGCCATCCTTTGTCCCAAGCCAGCTGAACTGTCACTGTTGCGCAGAGCGTCCTCTTTTCCCAAGCCAGACGAACTGTCACTGTGGTGCGGAGCGTCCCCTTTTCCCAAGCCAGAAAAACTGGAATTCTGGAATCCGAAACCAGACACTTTTCGCAAGCCAGGTTGCTCATCCACCGCCTGCGATACACCTGGGTGATCCTCCGCTGGGGACTTTCGGGTACGCCTTTGGGTAAGGGTAGAGGCTAGGGTCCTACTTTCCATAACCACTTGGGGGCCACTACTCGTAAACCCTGGAGAGCTCTCTTCGGTGTCTTGTTCAACCACCGACCATTCATCTTCATCCTTGCCACTGCCACTCACCTCAACCGGATCATTGTTGGCACCGCTGGCACACCAACGACGCAACGCGTAAGCAGCCATCACCAGCAGCGACGCACCAAGCACAAGCAACATGTCCATAACACGGCCTCCATCCTCGCTGTCTTCAACAGTGATGGTTATCTTTGAGGCTGCCAGTGCCAGGATGGAAAGGGCAAGAACAACCGTTCTGATTCCCATGGCTCGTTTTGACCCTACACTACCCCTTGACTGGGGAAAACCTGAGGACTCACCATGCAACATGCGGATCTCTTTAGTCTTTTCACATCCGGATGGTTCGCTCATCTCAAGTAAATGCAAAAGCTCTCTATGGCGAGGAAATGCAAGGGCCTTGGTGGCCAAGTCGGCCAGCATCCATTTTCCGGCTAGATGTCTAATCTCAAAGTAACCGGACTCAAGCAATTCCCTACCCCCCCTTGCTTTCAAGCGGAGGTGTCGGGTGCGCCAGGCTCCATTCGGCGCGGAATATAGGCTTATGCACCCTACATTGTCATTATAAACGAGTTTTCTGATTGGACTTGCATGCAATTCCTGGATCAACGGTTCAAGGGTTTGCAACAACAGCACTCCATCGCCGGTCGCGTAAAGCTCTGCTTCCGCGCTAGACTGAGATGTGACCGATTGTCTATGCGATGCCCATGCAATCACATGACCGCTCAGGGTTGCCACCAAGCCAGTTTGACTCTTTGCACTGCTCGGTGCAAAGCTTGCATCGCCATAGATTTCAACCAGTCCTGCAGTTCTAGGAGCTACCAACTCCCCGCTGGGACCATAATCAGAGGGACCGCTAAGTGGCCCAAATCTCAACCCGAGGGATTGGGTGCCTCTAAGGTACCTCAAGATGTTTTGGGCATACTTAGTGGCATACGCAGGAAATTTCGACATGAGTTGCGCCGTTTGGTTCACAGCAAAGCAAATGTCTGGTCTAGTGCGTGTAGTGAGCCACTGCAATGCCCCAGCAAGGGCCTGGGCCCTTCTCAACTGAACAGGGTCAGGATTCTCAGGCTCAGGATCCTCTTCTTTCAAGCATGGCACCTCCGCAGTTCCCTGAACGTCTGGAAACTTCTGGAGGAGATCCTGAACGTAATCCTCTTGATTTAACAAGTACCCACCCCCCGTCAACCGATGCAGGTTGAACCCACAAAATCGCAATGGCCTTCCCACATCAGCTATCTCTGGATCTGAAGTAGACCAAAGCTGGCGGAGTTCTTGCAGCAATTTGGTCTGCACCTCATTCTCCGCCGTGATGAGCATGTCATCTACGTACACTCCAAGGAGGCCGTGAAGCCTTACCCCTTGGTTGTCCTGAGGGCTTTGCTGTGTGGACCTACCGGGTTCTGAGGGGGTTATGGTTTGAGCTCCATCCGTAGAAGTTTGATGGGCCTCTGTGGTCTCAGGCTTTGCTTTGCTCACGATACGCCATAGATTGTTGTCAGCAACACAGGCATCCAGGGAATATCTTCGGCCGTTGTCTTCCCACGCCAGCTGTCGAAGCAACAAGTCTCTGTGCGCACTCCATCGCCGCGGCGCCTCCGCAAGGCCGTACAAAGCCTTAACCACCAACCACTTCTCCGACTCTTCTACAAGTCCTAAACGAACCAAGATCTTTGGAGGGGAAACCACCACAATCTTAACCCTATCACCCTGAACAGATTGCAACTTCTTGACCAAAGTCTCGAAGTCCAGACTCCCTGAACTCAAGTCCCCGGGAGTTAACACTGCTCGTCCCTTTTGGTCTTGGTAAAGGGGGGCCCCTAAAAAGGCAGTTTTGATATCCAGCCCGGCACATAACCACCCGTTAGTGGCCGCGGCACTGACTTGAAGTCTCACACTCACCCCATCTACACCCCCGGCATAAAGGTCCTGGGTCCTTGACCTACCCTTAGCCTCGCTTTCCTGCTGAGGCTCACTCGCTAAGTAGTTACCGCACCCCACTATCCTAGCCCTAAGGCGGTTAGTAATGGGTTTTTGAGTCCTTACCCGGTATAACCGATACCGTTGCCAACTGCTCAAGTCGTTGGAGCTCGTCCGGTCCAATGGGCCACACCGCTTGATGTACATTCTTCAATGCCGTCACCTCGTCGGTGAGCGGCTGGCGCCATGCCTCGATGTCCGCCCAAACCTCTGATTGTGGAATGATCCTGGTCTGCAACAGAGCTCCTGGAGTCGGCTGAGCACCCTTCATTGTAAGCTCTGGCGTCTCTAGCCCAAAGCTAGGGTGAACATCTTTCAAGGACTCTCCCGGAACCAAGTCACCACGCAAATCAAGCTCGACACTATCACCAAGCTCAACGGAGTTACCAAGCTCAACGGAATCACCATGCTCAACAGAATCACCACGCTCAACAGAATCACCACGCTCAACAGGTTCAACTGATCGGCTCTCAGCCTCAACCACGCTCTGACCACCCAAGCCAACATGCATCAAGCTTAGCCGGAGGCCGCCAGAGGCACATTCAGTGCCCTCACTTGCTCCAAGCTCCTTGTCTCGGCAGACCTCCAAGCATTTTTCAGCTCATGCTCAACAGAAGCCAACCGATGCAACGCAAACCTTGAACAACCAAGCTCAACTTCCCTTTCGCACTCGTCATGTTCTTGAAGCAACTCAGCAATACGCAGGTCTTCCTTCAACTCAGCAAGCAAAGAAGGAGTCACACACGCAACACCCATGCCCAACTCCTCGTCCATGGCCTTTCCTTCCTCACGCACCAACCACGACAGCCTAACAACACGCTGATCATGATTTTCGGGCTCCCCGGTGCCTTTCCACTCCCCCTCAGAGGAGTCCTCCTCTGAGTCTGAGCTAATATCAAAGTATTGCGGCTCATTGCCCTGTGACATAGAACCTGTTGCGCCTACCCTAGGAGGTTTTGGCGCCCCAGGAGGCAACTGAAAACCCAGAGCCTCAAGTTCAGCAGCTTCTTGGCTGGAGCATTTCTGAAGCCCTCGTGGGGTGTATGCAACCATGACTATGCGATCATCGCCAGTAGGCTCTACAGCATGAGGTTTGCTAGAATCGAACCACATGTCTCTATCATCCCCTGCATGGAACCGACCCCAAACACCATCCCATTGGACCAACTCCTTTTTCTGCTCCTCACTGAGCAGCTCTGGATTTTCTTCAGCAATCCACAACCGTCCCCGGTCATATTTGCTAATGGGCACAACCCAATTTTTTGTTCCCTTCATGTTTCGGTCTTTATGAGGGCCGGCCTGCATACCCCAGGTAACCCTCAACGCGGTCCAAGTGGCAGGCGCATCCTGAGAAGGGTTTAGCAACGACTTGAGGTAGCTGTTGAACAGGCGAACAGTTGAAGGCATGTATCTAGTCCTGGCAGTGAGGCCAACTTTGTTTCCATACACAAAGAAACCCAAAGTCCAACCCTTAGCTCCTACATTCTTAGCACTGATGTCGATTGCTCTCGTCTTTGCAGAGAAGTCCTGAAGGGACCGGCGAATCACATCCTCAATATCGCCTCGCTGTGGAGGACCATTGAGCGAAAGAAGGTGGTTGCTATACCTTTCTGCTTGTTCTGGTGTCCATGTGGCTTGTGCAAGCAACTCAGTGCAATTCCTTTCGGACAGGCAAGTACCAAGTTGCTGACTAGAGCTAGACACAGTCTCTCCCGAGCGGGTAGGCGTCTGAGAGATAAATCGAATGGAACTCGAAGACCCTTCACCAGACCCCATAGCCCTACTCTCCCCGCCAGCCGATCCTTCATTCCTTTCACGAACACCATCCACCACAGCCTCCTCAGGCCTCGCCTCCCGACTGGACTCCCCCCGTGGCGCAGCGCCACGCTCAGACAACACCCCAGGACATTTGCCAACTACTCGACGCGCTGGCGCCGGCAAGTCCTCTGCCAATTCAGCATCTTCGGCGGTGCCGATAAATCGCACTGGCTCGCGCACTTGGGTGTACACTACAGGAGCAACGTAGAGTCTATGGCCATCCCCTTCAGAAATACGAACCACGGTAGCATCTGGAACCCGTACCGAAGGAGCAACGGCAATCCCCTGTACTGCCTTACTACTCCACGGAGTTTTCCGCGTCCACTCTCTTCTCTTGACTGTGACTACAGTCCCGGAAGGAACCAAGGCACGTTTAGGAGT